CCTGGTCATGTATCACATTGCTGCTTGTGGGATCTTTCAGTTCATGATGTGTGCAAACATGGTAGCAAAATTATGATAATCACTAATCCCAAAAGTAATTCTTTGACTCATTAAATGGAATGTGCTTGCTGATACTGCAACTGCAAGGGGCACCCTTACTTGCAGTCAAACTATTATGTCACTGCTACTGATGCTTCCAAAGCTGGCTGCAAAGAAAATGCCTTTCTGATTGCTGCCATTATCCCACCACCTGCTACCTTGCCAGTTTCTTCTCATCAACCTTCAAATTGCTCTGCTCCCACGACTTAACTACATTCTTCACCACTTACCTCTCGAGGCCTCACTGCAGCGCGAGAGCGCAAAACGGACAGCAAGAAAAAGTCAAGAGCAAGGCGACAGCAAGTGAAAAAGGCAGCAAGAGATTTGGGATGGGGCCCCAAAGCAGGAGGAAGTGACTGAATGCAAGCATTCAATGGGTGTAAGCATTCAGTGGGCATACAATAATGACATCAGCAAACTGAGTGGGTACCAACTTTCTGGTCCACTTCAGCGGCACTGGATAGTGTAAACAAAGACGCTCCAGAAATGAAAGTTCTTTTCTTGTAAATGAGCAATTACAGTTACAAATTTGTCTCCTAATTCTATGAACTATCCAAGAATTTCTTAATTCTTGACATACTGCAATGAATTACTTCCATTTTGATCCTAATTCTTTCAGTGGACTCAGTGATTAAAAAAAAGGAAGTATGAATATACAGTTGAAACTAACTGCTGATAAATAGAAATGCAACATACGATGTTAGCTATCCTACTATAGATAGATGCTAGTGCTTTTGTTGAAAATATGCAGATTGGGGTGTATGTACTTTACCAGGTCTGAAGACTGAAGCAATTTTCTGTTCTTGTAATTGACAGGATTCAACACTCATTAGCACTTGTCAAGTGTTAGGAATTTTCATTCTCTTTCTGCCCCTAACCATGTAGAATAACTTCAACTACAAACAAGTATTGCTGGCTACCACAACATGACTTTATTATCATATCCAGATTAATTGCCTTTATGTGGACAGCTGTAGTTGTCACAATGTGGGGCTTATCTGTCTGACTGTTCTTAGTCCAGGTCTGAATCAACAAAGTAGCAAATGCCAAAGGCAGAAGCATGAATTCACTGCAAGTAAAAAGTGTATTGGATAAAGTGGGTCCTTTTATCATCCAAAATACTTTTTAATAGTACGGATCTTGCACAGCTTAAATTCATTTTTTCTTGGGTCTCTAAACACAAAATGTTGGCCCTGTTGTGGCACATACTAGCGTCTCTATCCCTGAACCAAGAGATTCGGGTACAAGTCCCACCTGCTCTAGAGGCGTGCAACAACATCTCTGAAACAGATTGATTAGAAAAGCTGGTTAAATAATAAAGTTTTTTTTAAAAAAATGTACAGTTCAAAAAAAAGAGAGCTCCTGTCCTGAAGTAGTAGCATTCCTATCGCTGGACTGGGAGGCCTGGGTTCAAGACCAAACTGCTCTAGAGTTGTATATCATCTCTGAACAGGTTGATTAGAAAAATAGGTTAATATAAAACAAAATTTACAGTGCAAAAATGGAACAGATTTGAGCTACTTGGCAAAACAACCTAAACACAAACATTGGCTTTTTTATAACAATTACTAAAAAAAGTTATCAGAAATTTGCTCAGCTCATCAAGTTTTACCTTCCTGGAGCAGTAAAAGATGGATCTATCCATGGTAGAGTTACAGACCAGCATATTCCAAGGTCCACAAGCACGTTCTGTGGGTCCAAATCTCAGGGCAGCTGGCACAAAGACTCAATAGGAAAAGGTCACAAAGGTCCACCTGCCACAGTTTCCAGCATCTCTGGTATGCAATGTAAAGCCCCAGAGAATGTTTTACATGCCGTGTAAATGCACATTATAAATATAGTCTGTAATGGCAAATATAATGAGGCACTTCATATACTGGACTGAAAAATATTGATCTGTTGCATTACATAGCTGACAATAAATGTAAGTCTACAAACTTGGTTATGAAAGTATATGCATTACAAAATTTAGAGTTTTAAGTTAAATATTTTTGAATATTATATCATAGCTAGAATTCATTCCTAGCAATTTTACCACCAGCATTGCATTATGGAACTAAACTCTAAATAAGAAAACATTTAAAACAATAGCTAGTAATATAACATTGCTGTAATTTGACCAGAACTTTAGAATGTACAATGCCATTGGATCAGTCTCACAATTATGTTAAATTTCTTCAAATGGTTACTCAAAACTCTCCATTAAACTCTTTTCAACAACAAATTCTTCAATCACCCTTAAAGGCCCTTTCCAACTGTACCTTTCCAAGCAAATGCAGCAGATGCAATACCTGTTCTTTCTCAAGGTCTAAGGCCTCAAAACACCATTTCAGGTGAAACAGCAATTTACTTGCTGGCTTGGATTACTTTCCCTTATTTTCTTTCAAAAGGTAGCTGATCATGATCTGCCATTCACACCTCTCTAACTACATTTTTTATTTCCTTACTTATTCCATTACTAATTCCATTCTTTGGCTTTACATAATGACACTTTACTCTTTAATCTCTCCTGTCCTCCACCTAAAATACATTGTCACTTTTGTACTGAAGAGTCATAACGGAGTCAAATTGTTGTCTCTGTTTCTCTCTCCCCAGAAGTTACCAGAGCTGGAGTTGCATTTTTTTAAAATTTCATATTTCCAGCATCCACTGTGTTTTGCTTTTATTTACTGCAAGTCGGTGAACAGTTGATTACCTGAACATTGTACAAACTTAGCCAAGTTAAAATGTGTTTCCAATTCTGCACAATGGTGTTAACATGAGCAAACGTCAACTATCCATCTGTAACAGTTTACAAGCTGGTTGAAGTGAAGAATATAACATTTATTCTCTTATCACAACACTACATTCAACGTACAATGGAATGCACAAAAGAATCTACATGACCAGGTCAATGCATGGTGGCCAACTGAATTATTTATGCTTATCAACTACCACAGATACTGCAAAAGTACATTTTGTACTGAACGGCTTTACTGAATATAATTCAGAGTTCTTTAAAAAAAGATATTAACAATTGATTATAAAATGAAACAGATTAAAAACCAAATAATTTTCTATATAAATTGCACATACTTTTTGGATAAGGCATTCTGTAGATTAGCACTGTAGGTTTAAGCCAGAAAGTATACACTTTTTTGTGCACTACAGACATTGTTGTTTTTTCAGTCAATCCCTAAGCAAGGAACACTACCTATAATCCACTATGCCAGTTGCAAATGTTCATTCTCAGGATACCAAACTGTGCAAACAAGGTGTTACAAAAAGATTCAAGCACAATTAGTCATTTTACAACATTGCTAGGTATCATTCCTCTTAACAATCTTCATGTTTCCAACTGGTTTGTTTCTCAAACTAAATTGGCACTCTTTTCGATCTCTTTGCAACTCCCACAGAAATATGAATCATTTAAAAAGAATGAGGTTTGAAGCATTATTTTTCTACCTAATATCACCCGACCTCTTCACCCAATAGACGGAGGCCTAGAAAGACGGCGATAACCACTGAACTAAGCAAAAATCAGAGTTGGAGAAGAACATTTACATCAGAGGAACAAAGGAATGAAGGGATCAAAATATAATGCTGTCACAAAATGGAGCCATCGAGACAAAGCCGGTGCAGTATAAGTATCAGTTTTGGATGAATTGAAGCTTATGGAAGATGGAGAATGTGAAGTCTTCCAAATGAGTAATTATTTTTCTTAAGTCATTTAATTGTATTCCTGGCTAAGCCAGGACTTTTTTGCCCATCCCTAGTTGCCCAAAGGGCAGTTGTGAGTTAACTACATTGCAGTGGGTCTGAAGTTACATGTAGGTCAGACCAGGTAAGGAAGGCAGTTTCCTTCCCAAAAAGGACAGTGAACCAGATGGGTTTTTCCAACAATAGATAACAGTTACACGATCATCATTAGACTCAATTTCAGTTTTAGTTTAATTCAAATTCCTTCAAATGCCATGGCAGGATTCAAACGTAGGTCCCCAGAACATTTCCTGGCTCCCTGGATTAATACCCAAACATTAACACCACTGAGCCATTGTCTCTCCAAAACTGAATTGTAGAAGATAATATCTAACAGTGATGAAATCCATTAAAAAAGGATTAGAAGTTCTGCTGTACAACCAACTTCTAAAGTATTTGTGCAGCGATTCCTGAATTTAAGCATACTCTCACTCGAGGGGCTGTTGTAAGAATAAGAGAGGCTGGCACATAAAAACAAACATCTTGCATAGATTATACCAAAAATGGCTAGTTCCATGGTACTTAAATTTTAGATTGGCTCCAAAGCATTAAATACATAAATTAATTAATAAATGTGAAGGGACAATGTGTGAATGAGTTTCAGCAGTAGATGGAGAAGGCAGAAATTGAATTGAGCAATGTGAAGGTGGTGCAAGTTGGCATTCAAAGCAATGGAGAGGATGAGGTCAGAGATTCACCTCAGGGTGTCAGATGGCATAGATGTCAACAATTGAATGTCAGATTGCAACCAGGATAGAAGATTACAACTTCTGTTCTACAACCAACTCCTATAATATTCGGGCAGCAAGCTCTGAATTTAAATATACTTTACACTGGGAGGTCGAGTTGTACAAATCAAAGTTTATAAAGGTGGTTAGCATTTAAGAAAACTAACACCTTGTGTATCACGAACACAAAACACCAAGAATGGCTAGCCTCACGGTAGAAGCATCAGTTTGGCTAAACTGCAGAAACGCCATATGTCAAGGGCATTCGTAATTAGTTAATAAATTATTTTTAAAAGAAAAAGTGAAGGACAGGAAAAAAGGGAATGGCGACAGTATTGGCGACATTACTGCGGGATGCAAGAGTTAAGCTACAAGGTTCATTGAATAAAAAGGATAAAATGAGACCATAAACCCGAACGACTTTGGCGTACTCACTTTCGTCCTGCCATTAATATTATAACTGCCGAGTTTCCCATTGCAGTGCCTGATCAGATCGTCCATGCTGTTCATTAAGAGCCCGATCTGCGTGCAACCGGACTCCTTCCCATCCATCCAGGTGATCTGGTCACCCCGGATGTCCCTCGATGAGTCCCCTTTCTGATTGACCACCTGGCCATCGGTGAACTGGCCGCTCCGGTGCAGTTCCTTTACCTCCCTCAGCACACTGTCGCCCATCTCCTCTCCCAGGAAGTTGTCCACCACACAGATGCCGTGTTTGCTCATACAGGGCACGATGTACTCCTGCACCAGTTTCTGGGAGCTGCCGCCGCTCAATCCGTGCTGGCCCCGGTGACTCCGGCAACTGATGCCAGCCCCGGGTACCAGATGGGAAGCCGTTGTCGCCTCTTCATTCTTCTCCGCCGGCTGTCCGTTGACCGAAGCTGGTGACAGGGGCTTCGGCAGCGGCCGCGGCGGATGGTGGTTACTGTTCGCCGAAGCATTTCGCGTGTCGTCGCCCTGTCGTCTCGCCGCCTCTTTACAGACCTGCTTGTGTTTCTTCCAGTCCATTTTCTGGTGCTCTTTGCTGCAGTAGAACGATCTTTTGCAGCCCCCGCAGAGCAGCAATTTCTCCATTTTGCCGCATAGGCCACAGCTCTGATCCTGCTCCACGGTTGGCGGCAGTGGCGGAGATTCATGCGTCGGACTACTCTCGCTAGCCATGTCCGGGACGGGGAAGGGGGTGGGGTAGGGGGAAAAGGAGGAGTGGGGGGGAAAACCTAGGTAAATTCAGTACCGAGGGGGGGGGGGGGGGGAAGTGGGGGAGGGGGGGGGGGAAGATTAAGACGGGGATCGGAAAGAGATGATGGAAAGAAGAGCAAACCTCCTCCGATAGTAATGAAACTGACTTTCTTCCCTCCGCGCCCGCGCTTGCGCGTGCACAGCCTACCACCCCCGCCCGCGAGCAGGATTCAAACTCTAACCGCTAGGGTCTCGCGCACACTTCGCGTCAGCGAGATTTCCAGCAGGTGGGCGTGTGCGTGGTGTTTTTATTCAGGGCGGCGCGTGAAGGTATTGAATTTTATTACCCCCTTCCTCCGTCTCCTGCTCCTGTTTTAGTGTCTAATGCTTGCACCAGAAACTCTTTGCGGGCTTCCTTACACCGATCCATCCATCAGCTGAAACATGTCCATCTTATATTGCGTCCTCACTTTCAATTCCTCCCTCTTTCTGATGCCTTGCTCGGTTCGCCTTAAGTATCGGACAGGCGGAGCCACTGGTTTTCGTCACTTCTTTAAATACCCCAAATCGAAACCTCGCATTCTACTTGGACATGCACTGTCGCGGCAGCCGGTTCTCAATCACCGCAGCATCCTGGCTGCTTGTTTATTCAGTGACATCGTTTTATCCTGATCTCGCCGGCTCCTTCCATTTTTTTGGAAATCCGATTTCCAGCGGTGCATCTTGTTCACTCTCTTCTAGCACCCCTTTATAATCGTCCGGTACGATATCTATTTGTGCGATTTCTGTTTCTTGTTCAATTATCATCCCTTAAAATCAGTGTTGCCGTTGGTGGAAAATGCTGGAAAGAGTCAACCCGTCAAGCAACGTTCTGTGGACCAGCAAAGCAGTTCCAAGTTTCAGATCAGAGACATTCATCAAAACATGACTAAAGGCCACCGATGAAACGTTACAATCGTGTATTTTACCAGTCCTCCACTCTACCCAGAGCTTTGTTTCTGTTTTTTAAAAAAAAACTGCGTTGGACACATACTATAGTACTGTATATAGGTTTATAAATGAGAAACAGAAGTCACATGACAAAAATAAACAAGGCTGGAAAAAGACAACACAAAATGATTCAAACTAATCCATTGTAGTCTTAAGTCAATCAAAATGACCCTGTAGCAATAAAAACCACAGTCAGATATTAAGTCTAATCTGTCATTTGTGTCGTTGAAAACCTGAGATAATAGTTGCTGTAGGTTAAAACTGGCATGGAAAATAATGACAAAAAAAGGAAAGATGCTGCCACACCTGCTGAACTTTTCCAGCAATTTCTGTTTTTGTTTGTGCTCGAAAATAATGAATGTGTGCTATGGCATATTTAGACCATAAATAAATAGTAACAGAAGTAGGCTATTGGGTCCCTTGAGCCTGCTCTACCATTCAATAGGGTCATGGCTGAACCAACATTCCTGATGTCCACTTTCCTACCTTTATCCCATAATACTGGATTTCCCTACTGATCAAGAATCTATCTCAGCCTTAAATATACGTGAGGACTCTGCTCCCACAACTGTCTGTGGTGAGGAGTTCCAAAGACACAACCTTCTGAGAGTTCTGAGGAAGGGTCACTGGACCCAAAAAGTTACCTCTTGATTTTTCCTTCACAGATGCTGCCAGACCTGCAGAGATTTTCCAGCAACTTTTGTTTTTGCTTCTGAGGGAAGAAACCATTTCAGTCTTAAATGTGTCCCATTTATTTTCAAGATGGTGGCAGAGTAGCAGGGCTGAGCCTGGGACTCGTCTGCTCCCATCTGCTTTCTTTCTCTTTTTGTTTTTGCTCTTGTTCTTTTTTCTTTTCTCATAATGTTCTTCAAAGACTTGACAGTGGCAGGTGAAGAAGGAGGCCTCCAGCACCAATGCCAGGACGAGCCAGACATGGCTCCACCCCAGCCTGGGGTCACTCAGCAAGCAAGGAACAGGTCCTGGACTGACCGCCTTGGCCAGAATCACAGGCTGAGCTAAGGTTCCAGGGCCGCAGCTAGGTCCAGGTGCCGAAAGGAGTGGAAGCATTGGCAAATGGACAGACAGTGGGAGTAGTAGGTACAGAACCCATGCACCCCCAGGCCCATGGCTCCAACTCAGATGCAGAGGTCGTGGCAGTTGCAGTAGCGGAGGCCCATAACTGAGACCCCGGAGACTGTTACAGGGATCCTGGAGTCCGTTTCAGAGACTCTGGTAGATATCAAGCAGCAACTGGAGGAGCAGCAGAGGAAGAACAAGAAGAAGAGAGAAAGATGAATTCTTTTGCTGTAAAATCTTACGTTATATTCAGCATTTCAAATTACACTGGAGCGTGGTGACTTTGCATGTAACACATGAAAAACACACCACTGTATTTTCATATACATGTGACAATAAATCTAAATCTAATCTTTAATCTGAGACTAAAAACCCTCTGGTCTTAGACTTTCCATGGTTGTGATTTTTTTTTACCTATCACCAAATCACCGTGACTTTATTTTTAACCTCTAACCACTACCAGTAAATCACACGTGGCCAATTGAATATTTACAGGAAATGTAAACTATCAGAAGGTTAGAGGGAGTGGGAAGGATTGGAGGTGGAAATAAAGTACTCTACCTCTAATGGTGCCCACCTCTATAAAAGCATTAAGAGGATTGGTGGACACCGCATGCTCCCTCTCCAAGGACACCCGGACACACATGTAGCTGCAGAAGAGGAGCAGGCAGTCAGCAGAAAATCCCTTCTGCACCCCACTGTCTGGACCTGTTAATAGCCACCTAGGCCAGGTCCAGGAGTGGGTCCATGACGAGGTCCTCTGACTTGCCTACATCCCTCCATACCAGATGCCCAAAGATCAGGGGCATGGAGTTGCTGTGCAACCAAAAACATAACAAAAGATTTTTCAAATAAATAAAAGGGAATGCAAATGCCCACAACTAATATGTATATGATTCATATACTCCACAGCATGGCAAAATAAACAGGCTGGGAGTTCATGAATTGCTGCAATCTGTGGTTGCATGGGACTGTTGCCTGCAACATCCTCCACTCCAGGACCCCAATGGAACAGGAGAGGACACTGACATAAGGAGCTCTCCACTCAGGATCTTAGGCATGTCCAGGCAGAGGACAAATGAGTCAAAGTGAATGGTGTGCTGCAGCAGGCTGCACAAAAAAGCAACTCTATATGACGCAAAAGTACATGGAAAGCATTCCCAAAAGTCAGCTCAGGTTGAGGGGTACAGGCTCCTGAGAGATGTTTAGGACCCGAGGGCTAATGTGAAATGTGACCGAGCTGAGGTACGCGTAGACAGGATTCCACCATACACCTGAGCATCTTCTAACTACTGGTGGGTCCAAGCACCACCACTTTCAGGTGATAGGGACCACTGCCCTGTGTGCTACCTGTCAAGCCTCTTAAAAATCCTACCTGTTTCAATGAGATCATCTCTCGTTCATGTAAATTCCAATGAGTAGAGTTCCTACAGTTTAACGTTTGACCATAAGACAATCCTTCCGTACCGGAGAGTATGTTAGTAAACCTTCTCTGAATTGCCTACAATGTGATGATATTTTTCCATAAAAATGGAGACCAAAACTTCTCACAGTACCCCAGATATAGTCTTACCAGCATATTGTACAGTTTCAGTAAGTCTTCCCTATTCCTATAATCCAACCCCCTTGAAATAAGGGCCAACATTCCATTAGCCTTACTGATTATCCACTGCACCTGTATGCTAGCTTTCTGTGTTTCATGCACAAGTACCCTTAAGTCCCTTTGTGGCCAGAGGCTAAAGATAGTACTAGTAACCCTCCCAAATAAATTACTTATATTTGCCTGCTTAGAGTCATAGAGCTGTGAAACTTCAGTCCAACTCGTCCATGCTGATATCTTAAATTAATCTAATCCCATTTGCCAGCATTTGGTCCATATCTCTCTAAACCCTTCCTATTCATATAGCCATCCAGAGGTTTTTTAAATGTTGTAATTGAACCAGCCTCCACCACTTTCTCTGGCAATTCATTCCATACACACACCACCCTCTGCATGAAAAATTTGCCCGTTAGGTCCCTTTTAAATCTTTCCCCTCTCACCTTAAACCTATGCCTTCTAGTTTTGGACACTGCTATCCCAGGGAAAAGACATTGGCTATTCACCCTATCTATGCCCATCATGATTTTATAAACTTCTATAAGGTTACCTCTCAGCCTCAACGCTCCAAGGAAAATAGCCTATTCGGACTCTCCATACAGCTCAAACCCTTCAACCCTGGCAACATCCTTGTAAATCTTTTCTGAACCCTTTCAAGTTTCACAATATCCTTCCTGTAACAGGGAGACCAGAATTGATGCAGAATTCCAAAAGTGGCCTAACCAATGTAGATGTCAAAACATAAGCCACTTAGCTGCTCCCCTGCTGTGAGCTCCCCATGCAGGTTTCTCCAATGTCAGCTGTGAATTTCACTGTTTCTTTATTTTTCTTCAAACAAACTCCAAAGTCTAGAGGTCTTGTTACAAAACAGCAAAGGCAGTCAGCTGTTCAGATTTAATGCTGGGTCACACAGCTGTGCAGGTTTACTGCTTGTTATTACACGTCCCATGTGGTATCTGCTCTGTCTCTCTCTTCCTCCTTTTATAAAGTGCTGTTGTCTTGATCTCTTTTTTCCCAAAGTTCCAAAACAATGCAACAGCTTATAAAACAGTAATTACTGCTCCAAACATTTAGGGAAATCAGCTTCAACACTGAAAATACCTCAAAAAAGAAGCAGCTTGTACAGTCACATTTTTTTTCAATCCTTCATCTTGGATTACCTACGTTACAAAGTTGCATAGAGTACTCATGAAATAGAAGGCAAAAATTTAGAATTTGTTTATAAAAATGACAGGGAGAAATGGTGCATGGTTCCTTTAAGAGGTAAAGTGCTTTTTTAAGCTTAGAGATTTACACAGACAAAAAAGTCTGTGAGTAGTTGAAAATGTACAGACGTTTCTGAAATTGAAACATATCAATTGGTAGTGTGTTTGGAAACCTTCAACTTGTTTTGATGTTTTGGTAACTAGCTTGAAACAGCCAATTAATTTAAACCAAGCGCTTAGCAATTGAAAACCTATTAAATTTAAATCTGATGGTTTTGACAACCTCGGACCAATGCCATTGTAAGAAAATTGATATGTCATCCAAGATATATAAGAAGAGGGTTTTTCAAAGTCAGGTGAGAGCAAACTACCATCTGAGAAATAAACAGATAACTCTCACAGAAATCTCTAAGCTCTCTGTAAAAAAAACACCATCTATGCATAAAAACTAGCATGGCACTTCTAGCTAAGAGTCCTCTTGGAAGAATTCACAGACAAAACATCTCTGACAGCAGGATCAGTGGAAGAAAGGCATTTATGACTTGAGAACAGCAGAAGACAGGCATTTATGACTGGAGAGATAAGTGGAGAAGGCAGAGCATTCCAGAAGACATAGTCTGTGCGGACTTTGAGAGACTAAGTTTTTTTTATTACTTGGGTTATATAGGTGGGACTTGTGTTATTGGAATAGCATACCGGTAGAATTTTGTTCAGTGGGGGAAGAGCTAGGAGTTAGGTGAAATTGTTTGGTTTGTTAGTAGTTCTGTTGATTTGTTAACTGTTAAGGTTAGAAAATAAATTGTTACTGGTTACTTCTGAAATGAATATCAGGGATTTTCTTTCATTTAACCTCTCCTTCTCTGTAACACATAGAATTCTTTGCTTGCATGCTTTCCTTTTCTCATGCAAAGATTACTAGCAGAAGAAAACCAAAAAGAGAGAGAGAAAAGAGGGAAAAAGAAAGAGAGAGAGAAAGGGAGAAAGGAGAAGAATGTTTGAGTTGGAAAAGATAAAGTTGGAACCAGAAGCAAAAAGATTTCAAATGGCAGTAGGAAAAGTACAAGATAGAAGTGAGGATGAACAAACTCATCGTAGCCAACAGCCTGGAAGGGATATATACAAACATGTCCAATGATTACCAATATTTGATGAAAATGATGCCTTTTTTATTTCCTTTTAGAAATTGGCCAGGCAGATAAATTCCAGAGACTGTGTGTGTAATGTTAATTCAGACCAAGTTGGTAGGCAGGGTTAGGGAAGTGTTTGCAGCACTGTCAGAGCACATGTCAGGAGTCTATGAAGGAGTCAAAAAAGGCTATTTTGA